TGAATTTCTTTTGTAGTTTCTGATTCTTGTGTGAGACTTAAGCCTTCAAGTTTAGGTCTGCTTCTTTTTGTTAACTTTATGTGTCTTGTGGTTTACTTTTGGGGCATGAAAAGCTGGTTCCTCTAAGCTTCTGGTTCTCTCTTTTGATTTTATATTGGAGTGGCCAGATTGCTTTTGTCTTTAGATGTTCCCACAGAGGCCCAAGCCAGATGAGGATAAGATACTCTCAGGCTTTCTCCTAAGGTCCGGACCCCTCCAAGAAAGATTTTGGCCTCAGGAATTTGGTGGCTGGACTGGCCTGGGAGCCAGGCTCATGAAAGATGCTGGTCTAGGGCAGCTGGTGGCTATGCCAGCCAGAAATGCAAAGGAAGATGGGGGCAGGAGGCGGCCCCAAGGGCCCCTGGAGACTGCACTGGGGATCTAGGTTGGTCTGAATGCAAAGGACAAGGAAGAGGAAAGGTCATCCCTGGTGTCCAGGAAAGAGGCTGGTGGGTTGTGCAGGTCCAGGGAAGCACAGGGTGGTGAGGGCGGGCCCAGGCCCAGATGCAGTGCTCCTGGGAACCTGAGAAGGAACTGAGTTGGTCTTGATGCAAAGGATCAGGAAGTAGTGATGGTTCCCCAGGTGTCTGGGGTGCCAAGAGAAGGAATGGGACAGGACCCAGGCTAGGAGGAGAGACCCGCGGGGGAGATGGGAGGGTGAGTGAGGCTGGGGGAGTCAAGGCTTTGAGGGCATGATCGACTTACCCTGGAGATTGTGGCCTGCAGGTCGAGGCCTGCAGGTAGGAGAGAGGCCTGGGGGTTGTGCAAGCCCAGGGAAGCGGAGCCATTAAAATAGTTTTAAGTCCAACCCCAAAGGACTAAGCAGTTTTTAGTTTGGGGAAGACTTCATTTTAGTAATTTAGTGATTTGGTAAGATTTCATTTTACTTTATCGGATCGGTGTTTATTTAAGATAGTGGTAGGAATAGTGTTTCTTATTGTAAAAGACTTTGTTCAGTGAATCATTCCGTTGACTCATCGTCTTTACATATTGGGAAAAATTATTCTATATTTTTCTTTTACTAAAGGTAAAAATTGGATGTAATAAATTCAATATAATAGTGTTACTTTTTTTTTTAACAGAAGAGAGAAAAACTACATGATGAAGAGGAAAGAAAAAGTGCCTGGGTTAGCCAAGAGAGACAGAGAACACTGGATAGACTTCGAACATTTAAGCAGGTAATAAAAGCATAGACTTGATTTTTGTTGCTTTCCAAGCAAAGCAATGATACATTCCTAATGTAGTATCTACTTAGAATGTGTTAATAACCTTAGCAGTTTGATTGGCTCCCTTTTCTATGGCTGTTTTCTGCGATTAATATATTTGCAACCTATGTGGTACAGCTTGGGGTATGGAAGGAATGATGAATCTCAACAAAGCCTGATTCTTCTTGAGTTTTATAGAAACAGTTGATTGGCCTATGGTGGTTATACATGGAGAAGAGCACTAGCAGAGTTAGAGCATGGTCAGTGTATGAGAGCCAGCTGCACATGGTCCGGACACTGATACAAGATCTGTCTCTTCAAGCCTGCTTAAGCTTCTCAGTCTGTCCATTGTTAAAGTGCTATGGAACCTTGCTTTAGTTCTCTGTGCTCAGGTGGTGAACCTTTTGGTTAAGTCCATATTGTTAAAGTGAAATGGAATAGGGCAAGCATACTTCTAAAAAAGGAGAAGCTTGGGGTTGGGGGTTTAGCTCAGTGGTAGAGCGCTTGCATAGCTTTTCCTCAGCTCTGAAAAAAAAAAGAAGAGAAGCTGTGCTTTAATTAAATGTTTTGTTATCTACCAAATGGCCTTACTACTAGGGTTTCCTGTAGTAAGAGCTAAAATGAGATTGCTATATGTCAGTACTTCAAGAAAAATTATTCTCTCTCCTTCATTCTATCATAAAAGTATTATCAGTGGGTTTTTTTTAATGCTGTATAACTTGTTTAAAAAAATTTTCATTTTTATCTAAGTATTTGAAAATATGGCAAGGTGATTGTTTTGAATTTTACATGCAGTTTTTTCCATTTAAATCACATTTTTTGAAAATTTTAAAAATAGTCACATGGCAATGTTACACAATTGGCTTAAGTAAGTAAGTGAGAATAAAGCCTTTTAGCATTGCTTTAGATAGCAAAGCAGTTGATAGATGTTTGAAAAAGTATTAGGCACTGGTATTCTTATTTTCTAGTTGTCTCCCCTCTTCCCCCAGAAAAATCACAAAACCAAAGAAATATTCAGTTAGAAGAAATAAGTAGACATTTATTGGTAAATTATTTTACTATAAGACAACCAGTCACAAAAACTTTTGATGTTTTAGAGGTACCCCGGGCAAGTCATACTTAAATCAACCAGATTACGAGTGGCCCATGCAAGAAGAAAAAGTGCAGCGAGCCCTGTGCCCCAGGAGGATAAGTGTGACTCTCTACCAGGAGTGTTGCTGGGAGAACAGAAAACAGAAGAGGTGGGAGAAGGAAGCCAGTGTTCGCCTTCACAGACAGCAGAACCCCATAGCCTTGCCCTGCCTGCAGGCACTTCATTAGCACAACTTGAAGCCGCTTCCTTACCTCCTGGCGTCCTTACCTCGGAACTGCCTCTCCCTGCTTCCCTTCCACTTTTGACTAGTGACAACCTCAAACCATGTTCTCTCATAGATCCACTCCCACCCCCTCTTCTGAAAACACCCCCACCCCCTCTGCCTCCACCTCCACCTCCACCCCCTCCCCCACCCCCACCACCTCTGCCTGTTGCAAAGGACAGTGGTGCCACCACTATTGCAGAGACACTGGAGAAAGATCTGCCTAGAAAGGAGGGGAGTGAGAAGAGAATCCCTAAGTCAGCCAGCGCCCCCTCTGCACACCTCTTTGATAGCAGCCAGCTGGTCAGTGCACGGAAGAAGCTCAGAAAGACTGCTGAAGGCTTGCAGAAGAGGAGAGGTAAGCCAGCAAGATGCTTCTCTGCCCATTTGTTACATAAAACATAGCAAAGGAACTTTTTCTTTCAGTCTTTGTTACAAAGCTTAAAACATTATTTTGAACCTTACTTCATAGCAAATGAGTTTTCAAGATTACAACAGTCATTTATAACTACATAGAAATATGTACTTTCCTTCGAACTGCTGGGCATGTTCTAACAATGTATCCTCTGAAGTGCCATTTGACTTGTTTGGTAGGTGACTCTTTGCATTGGGGCGGGGGGCCTGAGTCCGATTTTAAATTAGAGAGCTAAAATGCTCTTGACTAGTAATTCTAGCTTTGTGGAGAGTGCTTGCTTACCACACACAAATGAAGTCAGTAAATACATAAATTTAAAAATTACTAAGCAAAGGGTGGGAAGCCATTGATAAGATCATACAACATGGGCTGAAGAGGTGGTGCAGTGGTTAAGAGCACTTACTGCTCTTTCAGAGGATCTGAGTTTGCTTCCTACCTCTCCTAACTCCAGTTCCAGGGGATCCAACATCTCTTCTGGCCTCCACAGGCACCAGTTTTACATGCAGTGAACATACATCGATGTAGGCAAAACACTCAAAGATAAATCTTTTTTGAAACTCATATGGCTGGGCTTTGTGTTGCATGTCTTTAATCCCAGCACTTGGGAGGCAGAGGCAGGGAGATCTCTATGACTTTGAGGCCAGCCTGATCTCTACTGAATTCCAGGACAGCCAGGGCTACATAGTGAGACCCTGTCTCAACCACCAACAAAAAAGGTTTTCATACAACATTTTGGTATTGAAGGCTTAAATACGTTCTTTGTATATAAAAGACAAAGGAGAATAGGGAGTTATATACAATTTATTGCATGTCAGATATGCCTCAATAAAGTTATTTCTAAAAAGAACAGGTAATGTTCCTAGCCATTGAGGAGCTTTCGGTTTACACGAGGCAAGTAATGCTGAGCAATTTGCACATTACATTTTAATGTGAAAGAATATTCTTTAAAATATTTCTTCAATCTGAACAGACTCTTACATGTAAAATAACTAATGAAAGAGGAATGGTTACAGTATACCAATATTAAATTTTATGTGTGTGTGTAATATATACATGTGTGTGCATGAGTGTGTGCATGTACACACCCTTTGCATGGGAAGGCCAGAGGTCACCTTTGGTTACCTTCCCTTATGCTGTACCTTATTTTTTGAGACAAATCTTCACTGAACCTGTAGCTCACCATTTCACCTAGACTGGTTAGCCAGTGAGCCCCCAACTACCTGTCTGCACTCTGCTCCCGAATGTTAGGATTACAGGCATGCACTGCTGTGTTAGGCTTTTGCATGGGTGCTGGGGATCTGATGAACTCAGGTGTTCAAATTTGCACAGCAAGGTCTTCACCCACTGAGCCATCTCCCAGCACCGACGGAAAGGAAAAAAGAAAAGGAATAAAAAAAGAAGTATGTTATCTATACTGTCTGACATTGGACTACAGGTGGGCACAAAGGGAAATCCTTTGGCAGTCTCTTAGGACCATCTCCCAGCTTGCATTCTGTGATTTCCATCTCATGGGAAATGATAGAAATATCAAAATACCTGCCTGGCGTGATGACACTCGCCTTTAATCCCAGGCCAGCTGGGGCTACAGGGAGACCATGCCTCAAAAGACCAAAAAGAAAAAGAAAAAACAAAATATCTCCCATGGAACTTGAGTCTTGAGAGACTTTGAAACAAGGGTAAGTGAGGATCCATTGGAGTAGTGTCAGGGCCTCTCCACTCCAGCCCGATAGAGGTCATACAGTTTAACTTTTTAAGTGCAGTAATTCTGTGATTCTTCTCTTTCATTTTCCAAAGTGAGTTCACCCATGGATGAGGTGCTAGCATCCTTGAAGCGTGGTAGTTTCCATCTGAAAAAGGTTGAACAGCGAACTCTGCCTCCTTTTCCTGATGAAGATGATAGTAATAATATCTTGGCGCAGATAAGGAAAGGTGTAAAATTAAAGAAGGTTCAGAAAGAAGTTTTGAGAGAATCATTCACACTTCTGCCTGATACAGACCCTCTAACACGGAGCATCCACGAAGCTCTAAGAAGAATTAAAGAAGCATCTCCAGAGTCAGAGGATGAGGAGGAGGCCTTGCCTTGCACAGACTGGGAGAATTAACAAGTAAATGACCTGTTGTCTTTAGTAGTATTCAATAATACAGCTTTTATATTGATTGATGAGGTAATCGTTTCTTGTTGTGTCTGAGGCCTATTCATTATACAATTGCAGCATGGATAATAAATTCATAAATTTCAGGTTTTATGACCTGACTGTATTTAATAAAAACGTAGATAAGAGAAAAGCACCTTTCCAAAACCATTTCTGTTTAAATAATGGAGTATAACCAGTGTCTGTTTTGTTTTAAATCCAGTCCCTTTATACAACAGTCTCTCTTGTTATTAATCAGGTGAATACATGTTTCTGGAGATAATATATTATTGGTTTGTTTCTGTCCTTGTTCCAGCATAGTATAGATTGTTTTAGTTCCTGTATGTACTTTTTTTGAGACAGGGTCTCCCTGTGGCTCCAGCTGGCCTGGAGCTTGCTATGTAGATTAGGCTGGCCTTGATCTCACATAAATCTGTCAAAGGCATGCACCACGACTTTGTAGTTTAGACTGACCTGGAACACCTTGTAATCCTGAGTGCTAAAATTACAGGTGTGCATCACCACACCTAGCCAGAAAAGCACCTTTAAAGAAGGATTTCTATGTAAATATGTTTTTATATCTTACTAAAAATGTCTACTATATATATATATATATATATATATGATAACTCGTTTATTTTCTTTTAGTATACTTAAACATATATGTTCCTAAGAAGTAGCCTGGGGAGCTTATTAAGAAATGGGGACTCTGCTGGGCATTGTGGCACAGGCCTTTAATCCCAGCACTATGGAGGCAGAGGCAGGCAGATCTCTGTGAGTTCAAGGCCAGCCCGGTCTACATAGTGAATTCCAGGACAGCTACATGTGGGTGCTGAGAATTGAACCCTTGTCCTCTGCAAGAGCGGTCAGTGCTCATAACCGCTGAGCCATCTCTCCAGTTCCACAAAAAAGTATTTCTAAAGTTATTTTTAAGAATAAAAACGAGGGGGCTGTAGAGATGGCTCAGCAGTTAAGAGCACTGGCTGCTCTTGCAGAGGACCGG